TCTCTCTCTCTCTCTCTCTCTCTCTCTCTCTCTCTCTCTCTCTCTCTCTCTCTCTCTCTCTCCGCGCCGTATTCGAACGTACCTGGCCAGCGTGTGAATGCGGAGCGTAGCGTCGAGTGCCGCTCAAACGGTCGACGCGTGTTTTTGGTAACCGAAGCGCGCAAGGCTGTTGGAGCGGCCCTCAACCGGTTTTTTTTTTTTTTTTTTTTTTTTCCCATTTATTTGCATGTTTTTCACATGGGGCGGACCCTACCCGTGCTCAGAAGGGTCGTTGGGACCCGCCACCCCGACGCAGCGCCCCCGACGGGTCTCCTCTGCAAGGGTAACACTCTGCGCGTTCGCTTTCAGAGCATTCACCAACGTTCAATGAACGCGCGTTCAATGCGTTCAAACCCCGAACGCAGAACGCACGTTCAATGAACGCACGACAACATAGATCCTGGGAAACAGTTCATTCTCATTACGGACTGGCAACCTGAGGCGATCTCCACTATTTTACCCCAGAAGGGAAATGACGGTCACAAACACGTCATCGAGTACTCTTCGCGAAACATACCTGACGAGAGAAGGAATAATTCAGCCCCACAAGGCGAGTGCTACGCGGTCGTCCGGGGAATTCAACACTTTCATTCGTATCTATATGGACATAAGTTTCTCCTTGTCACGGATCATGAGCCCCTGCTAGCTCTTAAGAGGCTCATAAACTCCATGGGCATGATTGGACGTTGGGTTGTCCGGCTGCACGAATACGACTTCGACATCATTCATCGCAAGACGGAAAAGCACGGGAACATGGACGGATTGACACGAATGCACCGGTCAAGCAAGGTGGCAAAAGGCGAAGAGATTACCCCATGGAAGGAGCAGGAGCCAGCCAAGGAACCCCCGTACGGAGAAGTGGTCATTCTCCCCTGACCTTCCAGGGAGTGACAGTCGTATTACGGATGGAGACGCCATGTATGAGTAGGTTTCTCAAGACTTCTCCTCGGAATTCTGCCCCGTTGTCCGTTAAAATTTCCTCGGTATCCTGATGCATTCCGAGAAAACGGTTGACATACCGCACGATTTCCGCCGTCTGTCGCGTTTATTTTGAGAAATGATCCACGAATACCAAAAGGATTGAATACTCGCAGCTATTTGGTCCAAGGGGCACAATAATATCTGTGGTATCCATGCTAACCCTCTGGAATGGCAGTTCGACTATAGTAGGCACTATCGACCTAGGCGGCTGGATCGGCGCCTTGTCTGCCGCGTAGACCGGATAATTTTTGACGATGAATTTAACATCGTCCCGGTTATTGGACCAATACCACTCATTTTTGTCAATTGCGGCTTCCGTGATTCTGACGGCAAAGTGAGGGGCGGTTTCCTCGTGGGCCGACTTAACCCAGTCGTACCTCTTAAACGGATGAGGAACTGACATCCAGATCTCACTGCCATCGGTCTTTTGTTTTTCTAGCCCTCCGCCGTTCCATCGGTAATCCCGCGCCCTCTCATTAGGCCATCTCCGATCTTCCTTAGTGAATTCTCGGAGAGAGTTTCCAACCACAGTCGCTATCAAGACAACATCCGTCCATACTTCGGCACGCCGAAATCGGCGTGTCTTTTCTAATCCTTCGGACGTGGCTTCGAGGAATCGAGCCTCCGTCGAAATTTTTTCAGTGCGACACAAAGGACATAACCAGGGTTTATATGGGCCCCTATATTGGATACAGGAGTCGTGAGCTCGGGAGGCACTGTTGACAATCTATCCATTCCACATACCCTTCCCCACTAGGACACATAGGAACCGAGTACACACGTGAAATTGCTTCGCAAAAGTAGCATAACTTGTCAGGCAAGATACGAACCGGGTGATTAAGACTGCTTTGCGGCGAAATATCGCGGCATGCGACACAGGGCCTTGGCCCGATATCGTGGACCACATCCTAGCTATCCACCGGGGGGACCCCTCATGAGTCCAATGGCCTGACCCCGAGCCTGAACGACGAAACGACCCTTGCGTGATGGACCACGAGAGCGACGGTCAAAGACAAGGCCCAACGCCACTTAGAACTGATGGAAAAAGCCCTCCCCCGATTAGCCCGAAAAAGACAGCGGATGATCGAAATGGCCCACGGTCGGCAAGTCCGGAGCTATGAGGCTCGAAATGGGAATGTTGGACCTCGGCCCACGAATAAATTAGGGGACATAGTGCAGGTGAGGAAATGTGCTCGCCAAAGCAAGTTAGCGTCACGATTCTTTGGGCGATTTCACATAGTCGAGCTTGGTCCTAGTGGAGTGAACACGGTGCGGCTTGAGGAGCCTTGTGCCAGAGGTCTCAGGAAGTCGATCGGCTCAACCGATCATCCGACACGTGACATTGTCCTATCTTCGTCCCTTACCTCCTTCTCCTTCTTCCCCATTGTCTACGTCGTCCTTCGATTCTACGGAGGAAGACGAGGATCTTGAGCTCGAATACTCTGCTTCTCCTTCCTCTCAGCCTTCACCTCTTTCTTCTCCCCCATCGCGATGAGCTTTTCCACCGAGCAGGTCATGAGCGAGCGTCTGATGAGACCCGGGGGTCATATTTTGTCGATCCGGCAAGTACAACGGCCACGATTGAGTCCAGATCTGCATCGATTAACGGCTTTCTTCAGTGCGGCGGCCATCCACGCGGCGAAAAAATTTCGGTTCGCATGAACTAGCAAGCGGATGAGAGTGACAGAGTGTTGGCCGAGGTGTCGGCTTTTCTGCGGCTGTCTCCACCAGGCATCAGCCACGTGACAGTGATCGTCGCCTTCACAGGCGATCTTATGACGTTGCATCCGGCGGCTCATACAGGCATCTTCTAATAGCTACGACTCTAGGCGCAGGATCTCATGGCCGCCTAGGTCCAGCTCTTAGCACCACCTGGCGATCGGATCAACTCCACGAACGACATCGATCTTAGCGAGCTCCGGATCTCTCCTGACGTGTTGGAGATCGACTTCCCGCAGCTTCTTCTTTTCACGCCGTCTCAATGAACCGACACCTCCTTTCGACCTTCGAGCTTCCTTCTGATCTCCCTACCTTCTGGCAGTCCGCCACGGACCCTCCCCTTTCCTTTCAAATCAGGTGATTGGATGTATCGATCCTAGACGCCAACAAGTGGACGGAGTGGTGGAACGCGTACATCGCACTCAACTTTTGCCTTCTCGAGCTGGTGTTTCATTGGGCCGAGCCGGCAGATAAAGACGAGGAAGACAAAATTCCCAATGATGAGGTGGAGTTGCTGATCGTCCAAGCCTGGAGGACGGACACGGAGGAAGAGCTGCTGGGGATACTCTTCGGGAAGGTGCGCGACAGATATCTCGAACCAATTACGAACGAAGTTCTGGTGTTCCTGGCCCAGCTCGTGGACGATTTGCCTATGGAGATCCTTTCGCACTGTGACGAGTGGTCCGCACCAGCTGCGCTCCCTCGTACATTTGCGCCACAACTACTGTGGTCCACGTGCACGGAACTCGACGGCGACAACATCTACCTCCCGTCTTCGGGCGACTATTTGGTCATCGATGTGACAAATATCACTCTATGGGATCCGATCATCCGAAGAACGGAGGTGGGGGCAGAAGAAGAGGTAGATGAAGAAGAGGAGGAGGAAAGACGCAAATGAAGAAGAGGAATCGAAGGCCACTTCGGACGACCCAGATTATCACGAATCTGAGGAGGACGGGTCGAAAGAGAGTGGGTCGAACGAATCAAGCAATTCCGGTGATCGAAGTAGGGAGGAAGACGAAGCAGCAACTCAAAAGCGATGGGAGAGGGCAGAAGGGAAGCACCTAGTGCAGGATTCGGACACACGGCTTCTGCAAGACGATCCGGCGCGCAACCTGGAGCCACCGCGAGAGGAGTCCGGAGGAGATGGCGTCGCCACCGCGGAGGGATCTAGAAGCAAACGCCGCCGAAAAGTCCAACGTTGGCTCAATCCCCTCCACCACAGAGGCCCATCGTTCGCCTACGTAGAGATGCAGGCACTCGGGCTTCGTCCCCGATCATTACTCTGCCGTCCCCTTGATTTCCTCGCCATCCATCAGATCACGGGTCAACCCCCATTTCCCTCCGACCGGCATCCTTTCCCCCCTTCCCTCTTCCACCAGCTCTATTCTACCCGC